AAAATCTGTACTTCACTGATAAACCCCAAAATCTGTACTTCCAGCCCAGACTCCAGATGAAAAGAGAGACTACTCTCCCAAATTACAGACAATAACATCTGACTGCACACAGCTGCAACACCACCCATTCATTTGTTCTGAGATGCATGTTGTTATTGTTATGTGCCGTTGAGTCGCTTGCGACTTATAGCAACCCTATGTACAACAGCTCTAAACTCTGCTCTGTCCTGTGCCAATCTCATTGTCTCCGACACACTCATCCCGATTGCCCGTCACCAAATCAATCCATTTCCCAGAGAGCCTTCCCCCCCTGCGCCTGCCCTCCACCCTCCCAAGCATGATATCCCACTCCAAGGACCGGTCTCTCCTTACAACATGGCCCAAGTATGTAAGATGAAGTTTCAGAATCCTTGCCTCCAAGGAGCAGTCTGGTTTAACCCTCTCCAGGATGAATCTGTTTTCTTGGCAATGCATGGCATGCTCAGTACTCTTCTCCAACACCAAAGCTCAAAAGCATCAATTCTCCTTCTATCCTCCCTGGTCATTGTCCAGCTCTCTGATGAATAACAAGTGATTGCAAAGACCATGGCCTATACCAGACGCACCTTAGTCTCCAGAGACACACCATTGGTCTTGAGTACCTTAGAGAGGCCCTAACAGTAAATTGTCCCATCGCAATACGTCTTTTAATTTCTTGGCTGTTGGTGCCAAGAGTGTTGATTGTGGAGCCAAGCACACTAAAGCTGGGAACAATCTCGATCTGTTCACCATTCATCCTGATGCTGCCAATTGGTCCAGTGGTGAGAATCTGTCTTCTTGACACTGAGTTTCAATCCATATTGGAGGCTGCAGTCCCTGACCCTCAGCAGCAAGCACTTCAGGTCCTCCTCAGTTTCAGCAAGCAGGGTTGTGTCATCTGCATAATGCAGATTGTTGATAGATCTTCCACCAATCCTGATGCCACACTTCTCCTCATAGAGCCCAGCCTCCTAGATGATCTGTTCTGCATGACACATCCCTGGCGTACGCCCTTCCCAGTTTTGAGCCATGCAGTGTTTCCTTGCTCTGTTCTGACGACTGCTTCTTGGTTCAAGTATAAGTTTCACATTAGCATGATCAAGTGTTCTAAGATTCCCATTCTTCTCAGAGTCAGCCACAGTTTGTTATGGTCCACACAGTCAAACACTTTTGCATAATCAATGAAGCACAGATAGACATTCCTCTGGTACTCCCTGCTTTCAGCCAAGATCCATCTAACATTAGCTACAATATCCCTAGTACCACGACCCTTCTAAACCCAGCCTGGACTTCTGGCAGTTCTCTGCTGAGGTGCTGTTCCACTCGTTTTTGGATAATCTTCAGCAGAATCTTGCTTGCATGTGAAATCAATGAGATTGTTCTATAGTTTCCACACTCTGTTGGGTCACCTTTCTTTGGAATGGGAACAAATATAGATCTCTTCCAGTCAGTTGGCCACATGGTTGTTCTCCAGATTTCTTGACACAACTTTGTGAGCATGTCCAGGGCAGCATCTGCTAGCTGAAATATGTCAATTGGTAAACCATCTATTCCTGGGGCCTTACAAAACTCTAGAGTTCCTAGTGTTCCTTTCTAGCTTGATTCCTTCAAAGGTAGGCCAATGGACAACCGGGGTAGAATACTGAGGGGCTGGAGGTGATAAAAATTCAAAGTATTTCTCCCCTCTGCCTCATCCTCTAACAGCATCTCTCCTAGCAGCTACATCTCTTCTATAATTCTAACGCCTAGCTGGCAGGTCCTATGCTTAGGATCCATTTCCCAATCACAGAGCTTCCACCGTACCCTCAGCTCCTGGGCTCCAGGGAATGACCTCTTCACCTTGTCCTTCCAGCTGGAGGACATGGTGGCCTCCCGCTGTTGGCCATGTCCAGATGGCCGCGTCATCCCTTTCGGTTTCTCAGCGAGTCTTGGAGCGCAAGTCTCGGTTTCAAAGTGCCTCTGTCTGAAATTGTGTTGCTGTTATTACGTACTCTTGAGCTGGAGTCTGCCCACAGCTGACCCTCCAGCAGTCTGTAGAGGCAGGAAATCACATGGGAAGAGCCTGCCTATCTTACTCCCACAGAACAGCTGCTGAAGCCAAACTGCATGACTTTGGGTTAGTGGCACAACTTAGGGCAATTTCTTTCTTTTTTTTTTTCTTTTCTTATGTTGTGGTTGTTGTTATGTGCCATCGAGTCGCTTGCGACTCATAGCGACCCTATGTACAACAGCCCTAAACTCCGCTCTGTCCTGTGCCAATCTCACTGTCTCTGACACTCCCATCCCAATTATCCCAGTCACTGAATCAATCCACCTCATAGAGGGCCTTCCCCTCCTGCACTGTCCCTCCACCCTCCCAAGCATGATGTCCCTCTCCAAGGACCGGTCTCTCCTCACAACATGTCCAAAGTATGTTAGACAGAGCCTCAGAATCCTTGCCTCCAAGGAGCCACCCGGTTTAACCCTTTCCAGGACAAATCGGCAAACTCCGCAATAAGGGATATACCTTTAACTTGCTGGTCTGTCTGATACTTCTCTAAATATGAAGTGGAAGGATTGGCCATCCACTTCTGAAATAGCAGGCCTCTGAAAACCCTATGTACAACAGAACACACACTCTTTTCTTATATGCAAGATTAAAGGTATCCTCATGTAATCACCTAAACTGGAACTGTTTTCGTGTCCTCCTCATTCATACCAGTCCCACATGGCACCAGTCATGGCTCATTTTGTGTTCTGAGAAAGGCTACTCCTCGGCCCCACCTCTCCACTCCACCCTGACTCTACTGCCTTCGTTAATACCATTATTTCTCTCCTTTGCCTCCTCTTCAGCACCGCTCACTAGGTCTCCCTGGATACAGTCTTTTTGATTTCCCATACATCCTCCAGACTGCCAACTGATTGTTATTGCAAACGCAAATCTCATCATAATACTCCCGATTAAAATTCTCAGATGGTTCCCTCCTAACCACAGGAAGAAATCAGCTCAGCTCACTTCCTCACATACATGTCACACGTTTTACTACAGACAATGCTCCCTCCCTGGGCCTGAAGCTCAAGGCACTCTGTGTCCTGGCCTCACCCAGCCTCCTAGTCTCCTCTCCAGCCACGCACTGGTCCATGCCATTTGAACTAAAGTTCTTCACGCTGACCCTCTGAGACCTAAGGCCCTCACACATGCCAAGGTGCCCTTCCCCTGCCCAGCTCTCTCATGGGCTCTTCAGGCATCTCCACAAGCCTTGCCTCCTCAGGAAGCCAGCATCAATCCAGGAGCAGGGCTCTGTCACATTCTGCAGCCTCCTCTTTGACAGAACTCGGGTCCCCACACTGCAGCCATCCGTTTAGGCACCTGGCCTCTCTGTTAACCTGGGTGCTCCCTGAGGATGAAGATGGAGCTCATTAACTCACATTTGCAGCACTCACGTGGCACATGGCCAGAGGAGACCCTGAATGCACATGTCAAAATAAGGCAAGAGAAAAACCAAACAAAACCTAGAAGTCCGGAGCGAGGGAGGAGAACAAAGGGAGAGAGAGAAGAGGCTCTGAGAGAGAGGCATGCTGGCAGGTTAAACACATTGCTGGCCTCCCAGTGGGGCGTGCTGAGTTCAGTTCTGAGCACTGGCCGCTGGCCAGGTCACCATCCTCCTCCCATATTCTGAGGTTGGAGCTAGAACAACGCAGGACACAGTCTCCACCAGAGCTGCTCCCCAGTCATTTTCAAGCCTCTAAGCTTGTTCATTCCAGAGAAGTAGCAGATAAGCGGACAGGCAATGTGCACAAACATCCCTGCACATCAGGTTCACATTCCATGCTTGTCCGTATGTTCTATTTTGTTAAAGCTTAACAAATGAAGATGTAATTTTTCTACTCCTGAGGAAAATCACCTCTGGTTCATCTCCTATCTAACACCTTCCCCCCTGAAGCCTCCTTGGTCTTGGGAGCTATTCATATGTTCTCAGACCACCTACAGATAACTTCCAGGGACAAGCCTGGGAAAGCTAGCCAATTCAGCCATGAGGTCCCAAGGTCACAGAGTTGTCAAGACACAGTTTCAAGCTCCCCTCTTTCCACTCTGCTGATCAAACGGCCACCTTCCCCCTAAGGAAACCAGAGCTATGACTCTAACAGGTGTATGCACATCCATGTTAATTTCTGCGTTCTCTTCAAAAGCAAAGAGATGGAAGCAAGCCAAGTGCCCATCAACAAATGAATGCATAGAAAGACCATGGTACATTCACACAATGGAATATTATGCTGTGATTATATATATAACAATCTGGAACAAGGGTGCATTGTGGGGTGGGCTGTAGGGGAGGTGGGGTAAGATGGGAGAAGAAAATGTGAAACAATAAGTTTTTACAAAAAAAGAATTGTGAGTGCCTCAAATTAATGTTATAAAAAATGCCTATGAATTCTTGAGTAAAAAGCCAATTAGATTTGTAAACTTTCAAGGAAAAATTGTAACAGAGAATTTTGACTGTCATTTAAAAAAAAAAGCCCAGGTTTACTAGTGTGCTAAGGATGGGTGGAACCCTGACACTGACTGTTCCCATTGACCCTGGTCCTCAACTCATTCCTGGGCCAACTTTCAGCCAAACAATAGACGGCTCTGTAAGATGACCAGTACCAATAAGGAGAAATGTGCCCGTTACATCAGTCAACCATATAGAGATTAAAAAGGGAGCATATGCCCAGGAACAAAGTTCAGAAGACAGGAAGGGACAGGAAGAAGGGTAAATAGCAATGGAAACACAGGGAGCAAGTGGGAAGACCACTTTTCATGGTAGGGATTGTGATCAGTGCCATGAAACAAAACGTCTATGAAGTTTGGAATGCGAAACCAGTTTGTAAGCTTTAACTCAAATCACAAAAAAGGAAGGGGCACCTTTCACTCCTCAAGTTTAAAGCAATTAGACCAAGGTTGCTGACATCCAGTGAACACAGGATGAGAACTAGAAAAGAAGGAACAGGCAGGCTCTTACCTCCATCAAGAGAATGTCCTTTGAGCTCTGAGCCTGAACCTTTGGGTGCTGGACCTTCACGGCCACTGTCCGCCCATCATGAAGCACTGCCTTGTGGACCTGGGCCAGGGAAGCAGCCCCCAGCGGGGTGTCATCAAAGCTCACAAACAAATCGTGGATCTGTCAAAAGTGGAGAAAGAACAAAGTAGTTGAGAAGGTTTACTAATTTGGTAAGAGGAGGAAGGGCCAGAGTCACTGCCCTGTGCCAACAGAAATGGATCTTCTGCTTCCTGAGGTCTGCGTGCCAACCTAGCACCTCACCTGAGCCCTTTGCTGCCATCGTGACTCCCATACAGACATGCAGAGCCAGAGAAGCAAAAGATATCCTTGGAGGGCCTAGCTTCATGAATGAAAACCGAAAGAAGAGCTGTCTGAACACAAAAAAGTTTCAGAAATGTATACCATCTGTTGTTATTGTTGTTGTGTACCATAGAGTCAGAACTAACCCAAAGCTGACCCTCTGGTGGGTTTTCAGAGGCAGTTAATCGCACAGGAGGAGACTGTCCATCCTTCTCCTACACAGCAGCTGGTGGTATCGAACCACATGCCTTTGGGATTGCAGTGCAGCTTCTTGCCACTAGGCCACCAGAGCTCCTGTGTATCATGTAGCCATTTAATTATCCATTATTGCACCTGTTTCGGGTTACCACATTTGTAGACTCCAAAGTAAATAAATCAGTTCCTCAGAAAGTTAAACATAAAATTACCATCTGACCCAGTAATTCTAGTCTTAGGTATAAATCCAAGAGAATGGAAAAACAGACACTCAAATCCTGGTACACAGACAGCCACAGCAGCTACTCACAATGATAAAAACGTAGAAACAACCCAAATGCCCATATGCAGGTGAACGGAGAGCCAAACTGTGGCATTTACATACAATGGAATATCAACTATGAAAAACTATACTCAAACAAATATGAAAATCTAGAGGAAATGGACAAATACTTAGAAAAACACAACCTACCTAAACTGACACAAACCGA